GTGCCCTAGTATAGTAATCACATTGGATTACCTTCAATAGATGTAATGAATGCTTTATCAAGAGAACTTGTATAAACTGCATCACAAAGTATCTTCTACCACAAAGAAGAAATGCCAACCATTTTTTACTACACAGAGGATAAAATCAGCCGCTGAATTCCAGAGTGTCTCCTACTACACAAAAGAAGAACCGTCTTCTATTACATAGAAGGAAAATCTAGAAACCATACCAAAGGATCTTCTGCTACACAGAAGAAAGTAAACTCCATCTCCTACTTCACAAGATAGAAGTTTTAGCAATCGAATTACAGAGAATCTCCTACTTCACAAAAGAGTCTCCGTCTTCTACTACACAGAAGAGAAATTCAGAAACTGTACCAAAGAAATCTTCTACTACACAGAAGAAACTAAACTCTGAATGTAGAATTCGACCTTTGAGGTATTTTCTTTCTACACGGCAGCGGATGTCCAAGATCTCGATATCTTATACTTCTTCGTCACATAAGCATCACCAATCTTCTACTTACACATAAGAAGCATTCAGCTGAGGAAAAAGAGCCTGAAACGGTTTTCCAAACATGGACTGAACCTTGGAAAAGAAGCCAAACAAGTACCAAACTTTATACTTCAACCCCTTGTAGTTTTCAATTTCATAACCAGGTGCCCCAGAATGGGAGACACATCTAGCATTTGCATCGAAACCAAGAGAAAAATTTGTGGGAAGATGACCCAAAGCATGAAGCTTAATCAATTGAGCTTTCAACACATAAGGAAGTAACTGGATACAAGGTATAAAGATTGTATCAACCTGCTTCTCAAATTTCTTCTGTCTTTACTGATAGGCTTTGCCCCATGGGTTCACTTGGAGACCAGAAACTAACTGCTGACGAGACAATTCGGGAACACAAAGTTCTGGATGAAACCCACAAATTATCTCTCGATTTGAAAAATGTCCCATAGGTTGGGGATGAATGACATATTTTGTTTCAACAATATATCCATGACCACTTCCCTCTGCTGACACTGTCTTCGGAACTCCCATATTCGACTTAACTGAGTCTCTAACTGGTTATATTTCCCCTTTAAGGATTTCTGACCATGAGCCAAGACCTACAAGTCCATAATAGACAACCCCATCTGACTTTTTAATTCATCATCTCATCTAATTCTCCACTAAGTCACTCCGTGGATTTTACGGATCACGGCACGGTGAGAAGTCGAAGTTCCCAATTTTAAAGAGAAAATACTGAGTCTGAATAAGGATTCCCCATTATGAGTACCTTCTGAGTACGTGCTATGGATGCATGAAGATGCATGAAGATGAATGAGGTGAGTGAGCGGATGCAATTCCATGTTCAAACATCTTTTTATGCATAAAATCTTTCACTTTTTTGTGTGTAAAATAAACATGCTATGATGCAAGGTGCAATAACATAGGTTCAAAATTTCAGCCTAGCAACTGCACAATCCTCTGGATAACCACTGTATCAATCTGCTGAATAATTCAGATATCACCAGATCGAATGTTTGACACCACTTAAAGAATACAATGGAACCAAATAACATGAATAACCGTTGTATAATCTCTTAATATTTTGAATACACTAGGATCAAAGGTCCAGAACATAACCAAAGAACCATCCTGAATATCGAATCCATAAACTCAGAAAATAAATCTGAGACCCACATAGTCATCAACAGAACAACGATCACCATCAGAACATAGTCACCACCTGTAACTGTAATAATCAAGTCCCTCCCCACTCACGGGTGAAAACTAGGTCAGGGTAAGCAAAGGTAACTCAAAATCACGGGTTCACTTGAGAGTACTATCATCGTACACCTACGTGATAATGATAGCAACTCATTAAAACCTCATCTGAGCATGGACAACACAACCATCTAGGGTAATCTACATGCCCTATCTGTCATGTTCCACTTTATTCCTAGTGTTCCTAATTTTTTTCACTTGGCCTGGGTATTGGGCCTTTTACCTCATAGTAACACCCATCCAACAAAGAAACACAGAAACCAACACATCAATAGTATAGCAAATAAAATGCATGAAAACATATGCACATACAAACATGTACAAATGAATAAACTGAAAGCATAAAAATAAACACCCAAGAAAAAGAAAACAAGAGCTAGGATCGACTCCAGGATGGACCAGCAATAGGTCAACATTTCCCCAGTGAAGTCTCCAGCTGAAACAACCGGCTGAACAATAAATTGATAATGAAATCAATGAAGTCGCCATCAAACGTTTTTTATCCCACAGGAAGGGAAAGGTAAACATCGAGTGAACCTGAGAAGGGTTAAATTAAGCTCGAACGACCAAGAGATACGGGTAAGGGAGTCTGTTACACGAGGGGAATGTATTAGCACCCCACACGTCCGTAGTACACTATGGTATCCACTCTTGTTGTCTATCTTATGGGTGTGTTTCAAATGTATATCTAAGTTGTACAGGGAATGCATGCAAAATAAAGGAGAAAAGAATGTAGGGAAAATAAAAGGTGTGCTCGTTCGGGCCCTGCCCCGATGCCTACGTATCCCTTTTAAGGAATCAGAGCAGCCGTAGTTCAACTTCAAAAGTTTTTTTGGTTTGTATTTTTTAAATGAACAATACTAACTTTGCCTTCCTCCATAACTCAACCTTTGGAGACTTACGCGTCAACACAGAAGTGAATTAACATGTTCTTTTTGAAAAGTTTGAAAGAAAAGCTCGAAGGCACAAAAGAGTTTGCACTGGTTGATATATTTTACCTTAAAGAAGGATTTGGAAGTTGTTAGATGTTTTATACTTTTTTCAAGAAGAGTTTTAGTCTTAATGCATGGATGTAAAAGAAAGAAATATCATCTAAGGGAGACTAACCTAGATCTATCCCTAATGTTATTACACAATGATTGATCCTAAAGTTGAGTTTTGAAGGGAAATCTCTACCCTATGTTGACATGCTTGGATAACAATCCTAATGTCTATCTCAAATCACCATCTATAGATGAATCAAGAAGTCCTAAAGGAGCATAGCAAGGGTCTATCACCTAAAACTATGTCTATCTCGAATCATCATCTATAGATGAATCAAGAGCTCCTAAGGGAACATGATGAGGGTATATCATCTCAAAACATGCACACAAAGATGAAATCAAGCAAGCAAGCCAATAGGCTCAAGAGAGCACACCTAGAGAGATCCTATCTAGGTTAGAATGCCAAATAAAGTCTAAAAAACTGTCCTATAGGGAACATGCAACGAGAGCAAAGTCGTGATCTCAATTTCTAAATTGAGTGACTCATCAATCAACAAGAAATAAAGGAAAGCGATAAAATCCTATAGGGAGCATGCACTAAAAGAGAAGTCGTGATCCCAATTTCTAAATTGAGTGACTCATCGATCAACAAGAAAGGAAACAAACACAAGCATAACACATATAGCAAATGAAGTGCAAAATGTTTTCTACAGGTCTTTAAACAGCGACTTCGAGCGCACGCTCTTTATTTTTTACTTCTCATGATATCTAGAAAGCAGTAAAGTGAGAAATGAGTTAAACAAGAGTTACTACCAAACGGATACCAATCCATGGCGAAGCGTATCAAAACAAAGAAACCCGACGATCTTCGTGAAAGCTTCACCAATCCAATAAAAGAGTCTGAAATCAAACGCTCGGAATAAGTATCGAAGCATCATCGATGTGAAAATAAATCACAATCTAAATCTCAAGCACATCACACAATAAACCTGCATAAGACTCAAATCTCAACAAGCCAGGGTGAATCATAAATTTCGAATAATCGAATAACCATGAATTAATTCCTACAATCAAATAAAAAATCTAACAAATTTTTATATTTGATTTTATTATTTTTATCATGTGATGACAAAATTCAAGAAAATCTAAACAATTCACAAAACTAATTAAAAGAAAATACTAAGAGAAGAAATCTAGAGGGTGCAAGCCAATCAGAAGGAGGTGTAGTAGAAATCCAGACCCTAATTCTGAGCCCAATCCATGAAACAATTCTGGATTTGTAACACTATCTTCAAAAAAACAAAACATAGTGGGCCTAAGAGGTAGTGTATATGCGCGAAAGCCCAAACAGATTAGCCAAGCCTAGATTACAAGCCCAATTCTCTGCATTTTATGTGTGATAGGGTTGGATAGTGTGACGGTTCAATTTCATTCGAACATAACCTCTTATCCTTCCAAACTTGCAAACGGAACTGAAATTTTCCGATTCACCACCTCTTCTGTCTGCTTATCCTTCATTCACCATAATTTATCTCCTTCTTCGCTGCACACCTCAAATCCGAACTCGTCTCTATCTGACTCATGATTTCCACTTCTTCGGCGATCTCCGTCGTGTATCCTTATCACTTCCATAACTTCGCACTATGAGCTCCTCCATATCCATCAACCCATCATTTATTCAGACGCGGACCTTTGCCTCAGATGATTCCCTAACCTCAAATTCATTTCCACTCTCTTTCGAAGGTTCAGAGAACAGCCAAATCGGAAAAACAAAACAGAAACCTAAGTCTTCATATCTTAAATAAGATGCTCATCCCTGAGCTTCAGCATTCGAATCCATGGGGATTAGATCGTTCCCTTCTCACTCTCAACAATCGTATGAAGAACAACCGAAAGCGAGGAATATTGATGTACCTTTGATGAAGTTAATCTCAGGTATTTTCGGTCCTCTCTTTTATCTTCATCCTTTGCTTCAGTTCACATCATCCATCGCGATTCTTAGTGAATCTTAATGCTACGATTCATCTCCATTCTTGCATAATACCGTGCTTACTGAAATACGATTCACAGGATGAATCAAGGGCGAAGAAGATTAAAGATACTTGAAGGATGAACACGATGATGATTGAAGAATGGAGTGTATGGTTGGTGTTGATTACAGAAGGTGGGTGAAGTTTTAGTTTCTTTGTGTTAATGATGCAGGTTGTTGAGTTGAGAATGAAGGTTGATGAACATGATGAAGAAAGATGAGAATGAAGAGATATTTTTGTCTGGTTTTGCGATTCTTCTATGATGAAGGTGAAAATGAAGATTTAAAGAGAGGGAGAGAGTTTTCTTTTTTGAGATTTTGTGGTGTATTGCTCTTAGTGATTGAAGAATCCCCCAAATCCAGGTGAGGATTATGCTATATATCTCCGTTAGATTTGGAAAAGTTTGTTACAAAGAAATTGAATCTGAACTGTTAATTCTAACAGTTAGTTACAAGAATTAGAAAGTTGAGGTTTCTTTGAAATTCTGTTATAAGCTGAGCTAGCAGTTCAGTTTCAATTTTCCGATCTTCCCCATCTATTTTCCCTGATATTTTCCTTTATATTTTTTGATTATTCCCTCTATTTTATTTTTGTTTTCTTCAATGAATAGAGGCGTGTTTTAACGTGTATCCAAACGGAACTTGAAGGTGCATATGGAGTGAGTCTTGAGCATTTTAGAATGTGAATCTGGGCTGCATACACAAGCCAACTCTGAATGCAGATTTAAAGGTGAATGTAGATTGAAAGGTAGACCTGATACATGTGAGGTAACATTACTCTAAACTGAACTATGTTGGAATGCCTCGAACTGTTATGCACTGATGGAATTAACTTGGATAGCGTTTAAATTTCTGAATTGACCATATGCTGTTAGTTGATGAAGCGCCAATCTGTAAGGGAATCCTGGCTGAGTTGTTAATTTCTGTTGGTTACAGAAACTCTGTTAGAGATTGTTAGGAGGTTAGAGGGAGTTAGCTAAGCAGTTAGCATTCTGTTTTTTTTTGTTTTTCTATTACTAGGCTAGAGCCGGAAACAGTTAGGAAATTGGTTTAGAAAATGGTTAGGGGGTTAGTTAGAAATTGGTTAGGAGTTTTGTTTTCTGTTAGGAAGTTTGATATAGTTTTTTTTGTGAATTGGACTGAGGCTTAAGATTAGTTAGTTTCTATTGATTCATATTTCTGTTAATTGCTTGAACCTGATTTTATTAGCTGATGTATTTAGAGATCTGGTTTTTTGAGGTAAGGTCAGAAGCTTAATAGTTAGCTTCAGCTTATGTTTAGCACTTGTGGATGTGGTTTAGTAGCATGTTTACTTTGGATTTGTGGGTTGTGTTTACACTGCTAGGATGGCATTGACATGGTTGAATGAACTTAGAAGTTGTGAACTATATATGTATGTACATGTTTAATTACATTATATTTGAACTGGACTCGCAACACATCATCTTCTAATCCCTGTTTTAATCGAACCCCAAACTGTTTTAAAACTGTAAGCAAGTCGTCCACTAAAGCATAATGCATAGCAATTTATGGTGTAGCTTTTACTCCGGATTTCTGATGAACTTTTGTTTTTGTTTTGGATAATATGCAGGCAATTATTTGAAGAATGTAGCAGGTTGGTTCTTTTAGGGCATAATGGAGAGAATGATTTAGAAGATTCGGACACGTTGGTGTAATCCATGATGAACTATCTTTATGCAATCTGGGATTGGTCCTTAAAAGAAACGTAAACTTGAAGCCCACTAGCAAGGCATGGATGAAAGGGAAGATTGCAAGACATTCAGCATGAAGCTTAGTCAAACGCTGGAACATGGAGAATGATTGAAATTAGGATAGACTTTTTTAGGTTTAATTTTTCTTGTAGCTTTGAATGAATTTGAATATATCTTGTAATTGAACTTTGCAATGGACACGTATGGAATTTGTACAGGTTTTGAATGTAATTTGAACAAAAATTGTGTATGATATTTGAAATTGAAAGGACTTGATAAATTTGTAAATGAACGAACTTGTTGGAATTTTTGTTGAATATAGAATGAAGAGGTTTTGAAATGGTTAATGGAACTTTGAATTGAAATTGGATGAAGAACTTTGTTAGAAATTTTGAATAGAATCAATTGGAACTTGAATCTTCCACTTGAAATTGAAAGTGATCTCATGCCTTGAATAACATTTGAAATGTTGTATTATTTCTCCTTGGTAGCTTGAATTTCAAGAAATAAACCATGGATGGATCTTACAATTTACCTACTTGATTAATGCACCTCAAACTCAATTGAAACCATAAGTCCAAGTTAACTTGTGAAGAAATCCACATGAACTTTCTTCCAATACTAGCATGAATCAATTCTTGACAAACATGTGCTTGAGAACCTTAACTAATCTTGAGACCGTGCCTTATAACCTTTGCATTTACTTATACCTTGCATTACATGAAATACTTATGACACTTGCACCTTAAGAAACTTGAATTGATACTTCCCTAATCAAATCCTCAATTCCCCATGAAACTTAAACTTGCATTACAAGTAATAACAACTCGAGAGAACAATAACCCCTCGAGGAATCCTTTGAAGATGAATATGGAACTTGAGACATGGGAGGAATAACTACCAAGATAGCCTTAACATGTAAATCAAATGAACCCCAGTTGATGAGTTAACACACTTACACGCATAAGAACTACAATTTTCTTGAGATGCGCCGTGATGAAAATGGCTTTGTCTCTTACCTTGAGTAAGATATCCTTGTAGCTTGATAAGGAAGAGATCCACAATAACCATAAATCAAAACCCTAAATTCACAATTCAATGTACAAATAAGAACCAGAAGAATCAGTCTTGTTTGATAAACACCTCGAACCAAAAGAAAACCCTAGCTTCATACCCATTTATCCTTTGAACCATGATTCAACAAAACCTGAATTGGTTAACTGAAGAGTGGATTAATGCCATGTCATATTCATTAAGCCTGATCAAATGATAAGCACACTTATATGAGGAGACGTCTTGATTTAAAGACTATGTATGCTAGGTCCCTCCCTTGAATTCTTGACAAGAAAAACCTGCAACCAGTTATTCCTCAGAAGATAATAGCCTTGTAGCTTGATGGAGAAGAAGTCCAAAAAATGAGCATGAACCGAAACCCTAATTCCATAGCCTTGTACACCAAGAAGAAACAGAATAATCAATCTTATTCAATCACATACACCTCAAAATAGTCGTAAACCTTAGTTTTATAGCTATTAATCTTTTGAACCTCGGGTGCTATTCTGAAATGCAAAATGTAGGCTATATTAGTGACCTAATGAAAAAATGTGAATACGATAGCCTAAGCCAGATGAAAGAAATTTAGGAGGGAAAATTTTGGGGTGCAACATTGGGTTTTGAAAGTATATTTGAAAAGCGCCTTTGTTTAGGCAAACTTTGTAATGATTCTCATCTCTATAAGAATGTATACAAAGTGTTGGACTTTTGAAAATATTTCATGTTTTTGATAGTGTTTGGTGTGTTTGAAAAGATGTTTCTTTTGAAGATGGATTATGAGCAAGCAACTAAAAACGTTCTACCTACTCAAAAAGTCTTTAGTTCTTTTCCTCCTCCTTTGACATTGCTATCTTATCATTTGATTGGTAAGAACCCTTACCTTTTGATGAGAAGGGATGGGCGCGGGTCATCATATAGTCATAAGATGCAATATTGTGAGATACCTTAGCATTTTTCTTAAGGGACTAAGATCATTTGTAAGGAAACATTCACAGCGTTATCGAGGGACTTTGATCTTGTATTTTGTTTGTTTTTTCTAAGATGTCTCACATGCATAACATGACCATTTTCTCAAGGCCACAAATGGAGTTAACCCTACAGGTGCAAGCGTGCAAGTGTTTATTTTTCGTGTATGAGTTTATCTTGGATTAGGTTTTTCTAAGCATCGATTTTATCTTTCCATACACACCCTAATTACTAACAATTATATGAAAACGATAAATTTGCAAAAATTAAAATCCTACGCTATTACATCAATAGGGGATGAGGGTACAATTTACAAATGGGGATTAATAGGAGCTTAAATATTACAACCATATTGAATAGCTATGAAGAAAATATGTGAAATATGTAAAAATATTGTAAAAGAGAGAAAAAATAATTTTTAACATTATGTGTCGACACATGCTTATATGCATCGACACATAACCTTCCCTTGCCCCTGTAATGCCAAATCAACTTAGTATGAGTCGATGCATAATGGCATGTGTCGACTCATTCCTTGTTTGTGTCGATACATATGCGTTTTGTGTCGACTTATACGCCTTTTTTTCCTTTTGTTTTGTCCCTGTTATAGTAGTATGTGTCGACTCATGAGGCTTTGTGTCGACTCATAGCCTATTTTTCCACTAAGACCTGTCGACTCATATAGGTATGTGTCGACTCATATAGGTATGTGTCGACTCATACTTTAATTCTTTCACTCCAACATTGTTTTATGGTCTGTACAAGTCAATTCTTAACATATAATTGACAAGGATGGAAGACAAGCAAAAGGTTGGCTTCAAGGAAAATGGTTACTACATTTTATCTTCAAAGATGAATCATTAATTATGCTTGAAATGAAGGGTTAAAGTCAAGAAGACTTACCTTGAAGCTGGAATTTATGCTTTGAGCTTGAGTTGCTTCCTTGACTGTTCTTGAACTTGGGAAAAATAGAGGTGTTACAGAAGCTTGTTCTTGAGTTTGAACAAACTTCTATATGATGTATGTGGAGTGTTTGGATAGTTTATTTGGGAAGAGCTTTGCAAGGTATGAGAGGTTCAAAGGTTTGGACTTCAAAACTCAAGAGTGGAAGCTTTGTGGACTGTTATGGCTTTTGTGAATATGAGATTTTGAGGGTTTATCAACAAAACTTCTGGCTTTTCTCTCTATTTTTCTGACCTCTTTCTCTTGCAAATTCCTCTTATATTTATAGGCAAGAGGTTTGTGTATATGAGTTGATTAGGTTTGCAAGACAGCATGTTATGGTTTTGTTGGATTGCAAAGATTAAACTATGTCAAGTACTCTATAATCCCAAGATGAAGTACAAAAGTTGCTGGTTTAGAGGGGCTGCTTTCTGTGATTTATGGTGGAGCAAAATCAGAAGCAAAATAAAGTATGGGCTCAAGACAAATTTGTACCAAAAAGTTTACTTTTCAAGAATAACAATGGTAACTTTATGCCATAAATGGAAAAAGCTTCTGGACAGAGGCTAAAACACTTGGGTAATAGCTCAAAAGTGGGTCTAAGCATTAAATTATGGTGAGATTGGCAAGTTAGAAGGCCTGCAACACAAGATTATGCAGCATAGCATAAGGATTTTGTTATGTGTTCTTAAACAAAGTGACTTGCAATTTAAGAATGGATGCCCAACTTCATACCCTTAAATCTAATAGCTCAAGTATGATAAATTCATGCTCTTGGATGTTCTGGAAAGCTTGAAACATCCTCTATAACTTTCATGTTATCCATTTTGACAAAATCATCTTGTAACTATGTGAAAAATGTCAAGAAGTTGGGATAAAATCCTGACCAAAATCTGTTGAAAATTTCTCTAAGTGTTAAATGAAAATGTCATAACTTTATGAATTTATAACTTAAAAGCCAAGCATTTCTAAGACTTGATCAACAAATCAAAGTTATACATCTCATCAAGATCTACAACTTTAATTTTGAAAGTTTTCTTTGAATCATCTTGCATCTTGGTGAAAAATTGGCATGAAGTAATGAAATTATCATGTGTGAAAAACACTTGGAAAATTTCTAAGTCTTGGAAATCTTGACTTTTTACATTGACTTTTGACTTTCTTGATTTCTTGATGGTCAAGCTTCATATTCTTGAATGTCTTGATGAATTTTGATATTTGAAACTTAATGTTGACCAAAAAGTCAAAGTTTGACTTTTGGTGCTACAATTGACTTTTTCATCAGTACAACTGATTTTTGATCATCTGGTCAATTGACCGAGCAAAATTTATGGTACGAGACTCGAAACTTGACATGAACAAATTTGAAGGTCCATAATGATTCATGAAAGTATTTTAAGGTATTAACAGTCCAATTGTCCTTGTGCAAACTCAAACCCTAATTTGAGGCATCAGTGTTGAGGAGATGGCTTGACCTGGTCAATACTTGTGCAAGCTTGAGCTTTTGAAGATCTTTATGAGAAATGTCTTGAGAAAAGAGAGGGAAAATTTTGGGGTACAACAGTCACACTGAAAATAATTTGTATTCGCGGTATGATCAATGATGTACATCAACCATAAATGTTCCTCAAGACAATAATGCACATTCTCCCAATGATGAAAAACTTCCTCAACAACAAGATCTCCAAATCTTTATGGTGAGTTCACACTTCATAGTTTAAGAAACTAATGATATTTCATCATTTCAACTTCATTCTCCACTTCCTCCTCTTCATTTTTTGGTTCCACTTGTTAGAACAAAGTTTTAATCTACTACCCTAAGTTTAAGTTTTGATGATAACAAAATGAAAGGATATATTAATTATGTGATTCATATAAAAGTTATTTGCTACCTAAAATATTACGTTCTGTTTTGCAGAAACTCTGATAGGCATCAGCAAGAGCACACTTAATCAGCATCAGAATATTGGTCCTTAACATCAGCATCAGAAGATGCTATATCA